GATCCATTCTCTCATGTACCTGTTTTTTAATGCTGCCTGTCAGGTAATGGCTTCCAGTGGTTTCCTATTTCCATTTCCTACCCTTACCTCGGCCTACTCTTCAATGTTTGTGCCTTATTTTCTACCCCTTTTCATTATGCACCTAGCCAGGCCAATGAAAATTCTGTCTGATTCTAAAGCCTTTTGAACAGTGCATATGTTTTTCCACAATGTCTTTTAGCTTCCTGCAGCATACTGGCCTTGAGGTTATCTTTCCTTTGAGTCACTGTGGGCTCAGGAAATGTAAACCACTATGCTATCAGACTGAGCAAAATATTGACAGCAATGTAAATCTGCTACAAAATGAGCTGTTTATATCTCTCACTTTGCTAGAACTCAAGGTCCCCAAAGGGAGAAAGCACAGACCTTGGCCAGAATAGACTCTCAAATATTTATTGAATTAATGAATTCTCAAATCCAAATGGAACACTTAACATTAACCCTAATATATCCCTCAATTCTTCTAAGTGATTAGTCACTGCAGTTTCCAGAGGTCCCTATAAACACAGAAAATATGCTACATAAGGAAATCAAGTCTCTAAATTCCAGAGGACAATCTCATACCCATGTTCTGCTAAGATCCAGCCTTGTGAACAGACACCAAAGCCAGCAGAAGGGCAGGGGTGAGCCTCTCTCCAAGGACAGGAACACCCAGAAGACCATCCAATTTACAGAAAGGACACAAAACAAGTTCCAGAATTGAGAGCCTAACAAAATATCAAGCCACTCTGATTTCACCAAACTGAATAAGACATTGATGATCAAATCAGATTTTTGAAAACCATCTTTGACAGAATTAAGCCTAGATGACCCTAATTCATAATAGAAACAGGTGAATCTAGAATTTTGCTGCCTACAGCCTGTTTTGGGTGCTGTGATCTGAAATTTACATTCTGGCAAAAGTGAGCCATATTATAATAGCTTTGAATGAATGGAACACACTTCATAAGTGCATCTTTTACGTGTCAACACACGGGATTTCTTTTTGTTATCATTAACATCAGTGCATTTTTTAAAAGCCTAGAAAAGTTGGATGTTTTAGGTTAATATTTTAGACTTAACATTTTCATTTTGCTTTGCCTGGAAGTTCATTTCCTGGGGTCAAGAATTTTTGTTTTTAAGTATTTAGAAACATACTATTGTGGTTGCATATTCAAACACCCATTTTGAACTAGACCTCTGGCTTTATATATTCGTTCTCAAAAACCTGGAGTATGCAAACAACGATGAGGTGGGCAGAGGGCCAGTTAATAAATCTCATTTCCGACTAGCATATGCACAAGGCAGAGCTATGGGGAGTATTTTCCCGAGGGAGCACTGGAGCACAACTCATTCGCTGTGAATTAAACCGTGTCACCTCAGATGGCCTTCACGTTATTTTTTAAGCAGCATTTAAAATATATGGATTTCTAGCACTTCTAAGGCACTGAAGAAGCAGAGGCTAGAGAGGCCATCTCATATCAGTCAGTGGACTGGGGAAAATGTATTTACTTACATGGCTGTGGTCACTTGCTATTTTCAATTGAAATTACTAATCAGGGGTAATTTGCTGCAAGAAACCTGCTTTTCTAATAAAAGTGCACACTAGTTTCAATGATGTCTTCTCACCTATTCTCTAGACGCTAAAATTAGGTGCTGTTTACACTAACAGATACCTAGATTGTGACATCTACGTTGAGAACCATGTCTGACTTTTATTCATGAACAGTAAGGTACAAACACTACAAAAATAGAAAAGTGATTGCATGTCATTAGCAATGTTCAGGTGTCTGTCTAGCTCTCTGGGTACCCTCAACTTCCTCTCACCAGTACTGTCAACAAGGTGGGGTGCACTCCTGTCCATCAGCTCCCAAAAGAAACCCCTTTCCATAATAGTAACATCATTCTTCTATTTACATAGCATTTCTTTCTTTTCTGTGCTCCTGAGGACCAAACCCAATGTTCCACACATGCTAGGCAAGTGTTCCACCATTGAGCTACTACACTGATGGCCCACAACTCTTATAAGACATTCTTTTTTTCAGTGTTTGAAGTTAAACTTACAATATCTCTATTAAAATGATATTATTGGGCTGGGAAGGTGGCTCAGTGGTAGAGTGCTTGCCTCACATGTATGAGGTCCTGGGTTCAATTTCTCAGCACCACATAAGCAGAAAAAAAAAGTCAGAAGTGGTGTTGTGGCTCAAGTGGTAGAGTGCTAGCCTTAAGCTGAAGAGCTGAGGGACAGCGCCCAGGCCCAGAGTTCAGACCCCATGACCGACAAAAAATAAAAATTAAAATTAAAAAATGACATTATCCATCTTCATATGTAACAAGCAAAGGCAGAAAATTGGCCTTTGATAAAGGCCTGCATAAGGTCTTCCTAGGAGTCAGTGAAGTAAGCAAGACAAAATTGCTTCTCTCAAGGGATTCCTCAGAGAACTTCCAAGTATATCTCATTGTTGAGGGCTACTCAAAACCTACAGCCAAGGTCAAATTTTTACTTAGTTAAATCTCTACTGTGGCTTTCAAACTGCCTTCCAAATTTCCCCAGCAATTAAATAGCTATTTTATTCCAATCTTCGAATACCAAATCATGATGGAATGCTTCCTGGACAGAAAAATGTGTTATGGTTTTCCTTTCCCTATCCCTCCCCGCACCCCCCCCCCCCCCAGTAGTAATTGTATTACATTACTAGTCCACATTGAAGGAGGAGATGACCAATGAAAACACCTAGTGTGTCTCTCTCCAAGTTCTCCAAGTGCAGCCTTTGTAGAACAATATAAATGCATTTCTGGAGATTCTTTCTCTATTTAACCTATGGCGCTTTTCACTGTAGCCTCCAATGATCCTATTACATAAAAATACAAGTGCAATGATGATCTGAGTGGCTTACAATTTTTTTTCAGTCAGATCATTTAAAAAAATTCAGTTTGTTTTTTTACATAATTTCAAGTACCATTATAGAGACTCAGAAAGCAAACTAGAAATAATTCAGGAAATGAAAATAATAACTTGGGTTGCAGTGAATAAAACTTCATTATAAAGTAATACTTTCTCAGGAGAAGGTAACATTTAACCTTTTCAGTCAATTATTTTTTCCATTGCCACCTCAAGTTGGTTCATATGAGTAATAAAACCGAAGAAGGCAACTACTTTGGGCTCACGTGCTAAAATTTGTACTCCAACCTAAAAAGCAACTGCCACTTATGATGCAGGTGACTAAAATCGCTTAGGAAAGGATGGCCTCAAATTTACTACTTAGAAGAGCAGTTCTGATAAGTTTGGAACTCAAAACTCTTTGATTTAAATGCTATGATTTTTGTTGTTGTTGTTTAGGGATATTTACAGACAAAAAAAAAAGGTAGATGAATAAGGAGAGAAAAGGCCCAACTTTCTAATAATAACAGGGTCTCCAAAAGGAGAGTCCCTGAAGTTGTGGTTCTATTTTGGTTTACATTAAGAAAATAACAAACACTTCAAGTCTGGAAGAATACCATGTCAACACATTTCATTGGAACCATAAGGTGACCTCCTGGGCACAGCCAAAATTAACTCCAAGTATTTATGTAACTGCCAGAGAAGACAGGATGAAGGTTGCCTTTTTCTTCTTCTTCTTTTTTTTGAATTAACAAATTGTGTGTGTGGAAGTGGGAAAGAGAAAGGAAGTGGGGGTGTGGGGGTACTTTGGGTCTTATTTTATGATATCCAACATTCATCCACATAGACTATTCTACTCATAATACCATCTGAATGTTTAGATGAATGCTTTTCACATTTTTTTTAAAAAGGAGGTTTTATTTCCTGTTGCTAACTAGCTAAAAGGATGCCCTTTAGAGGTACGCATGGTCTGCTTCAAAGCAAACGCATTGTTTGTGGTTTATCAAGGTAACATTTAAAAATAACTACCCTAGTACAAAAGAACTTCAGAGGAAATATGACCGGAGCTATCAGTCTTCCCTTTAAGTCTGGCCTTGAGCTGTCTGAGATCCTAGCTGCATTCTCCATTACATTGTTATCCTTATCAAACAATGCAAACAATTTTAATGAGCTTATCTTCGGGAACATATTGCCAGATAGGTTCATGCTAAATGATGCTAACCGTGCAGGCACCTCATTAATCAAAAGGCTCACAATACAATGACCAGGATCGTTGCCACCCTGAACATCAGACCTCAGCAAAATACCAGGAATTACCTTCGACTGTAAATACGAAGGAGGGGCTCCCCCGCCCATGGGAAGGCCATAAAACTCCTAATAAAATGCTTAACAACGCCCCGGTCCCCCCCCCACACACACACCCTCTTTCAGGTCGGTGGCAGTCCAGTGTCTTCTAATAAACCCCAGGTTTGGTGGAGAAAAGGTGGGGGGGGGGGGGGAATGTCTAACATCGTGACCTCTGCTGTCAATCCTCGCACCAATCAGCGAGCAGAATTCGTACAAAGCTCCATCAATCTGGCAGTCTCACATCCCAGACTGCAGCTCAATCTCGAGGATTCCATCTTTCCCGCACCCTCTCCAGGTTAAGCGCAAACGCGTGTGGGTTTCCTCCCCGTCTCGCTCCTCGCCATCCTCGCGCTGGTTTTCTGCCGCGAGGCACGGCTACCTAAAAGGCCCTTTGCAATCTACCAGGGACGGAGGAGAGGAAGTGCCACCGCCTGCCTCCCGTCGGGGAGGAGGGGGGAGAGCCTACATTTTTATTTCTTATTTTTGGACCAGTGTGGAAGGAAAAGGGGTGGAGGGAGACCCCCGCGTCTGCAGGCGGCGAAACCGATCCCCCAAAACGCCTTTCCCTCCGCGATCGCCAAGCCGCCCCGCACGGCCAGCGTGACACACAGGGACACCGATGCCCGAGGACCGCCACCCGCCCGGGCGAGCGCACGTCGGCAGCCCGGGTGGCGGGCAGGGGCCGCTCCACGATCGAACGGGCCGGCTCCCCCCGCGCCGGGCCCCGCGCCCGGGCCCGCGCCGCCCCCATTACCTGTAGGAACGCTCCCCGCGCACGGTGTGCTTCCGGAAAGGAATGATGGTCCCGTTATCCTGGATGATGTCGTTGTTGTTCTCGCCATTTGGGGACAGGGTTTGGGTCGGCCCGGGCATTGGCGCACTCCCGAGAGAGGGAACAAACCGCTGGGGGCTGGCTGACCAGGAAGGTGGCTGCGTCTTCCCGCTCGCTCCGCCGATTCCGCGCACGTCCCTCGAGCTGCCGCCCGCCCGCTCGCTCTCGCTCGCCCGCTCGCTCCCTGCGCCCAGCTCGGCTCCCGCCCCGCCCCGCCCCGCCCCGCCCTCTCGCGCCCCGCCCACCCGGCCGCTGACGTCAAAACGCCAGCAGCAGTCCGGTACCAGCCGCGGCACCCGGGTCACGTGGCCGGCCCGTCACCATGGCAACGCGCTAACTCATCACCTCGCCTCCATTCGCACAGGGCCGCGTCGTGAGCACGCCAGCGGCTCCAGGCAGGCACCGGGCAGGCCTACATCTGGCATGTAAAAACCCCAGGCCACCCCCCACCCCGCCCCACCACACACACACAGCCCCCCTCGCACACCCGCCTGGTCTGAAAACCAGCTCTTCCTCTAACCATTTCCTTTCCGACCCGTGCTCCGACTGCAGCTGTGTACACAAAAGAAGGATTCGAGTACCGGGGTGTGGAGGACCCTTTAACCCCTTCAGTACCAACTTCTTAGGCCGTGAAAATGAAACCTGGCCAGGTTTAAGGAAAGTTAAAAATACATCTAAAAGACCCGATGCCAGTTCCTAGTGTCTGACCAAAGGAGTTAAATTCTCCAGATTCCTCTCCCGCTGGAATAATTGCACCTTTTTAAAAGCAAATAACCAAAAAGCTGGAAGGAAGCTGTATTCCCTTCTACCCAATAAAGCCTTTAATAATGTGAGGATTAAAGATTGTAAGTTATGAGATTTTATGTAGAAAAGAAATCCCCGAAGACCTTAAAATTATTAACTATTGGGCATCCTCCACTCCAATTCTCCCCTCCCCCAGCACCTCTTCCCCCCCCCCCCCCCCCCCAGTCTAGGCTGGTCTAAAACTAGTCTTTCTCTTGCCTCAGCCTCCTGAGGACTGGGATTACAGGAGTACACCACAACTCCAGACTTTATACTGCCTCCTGATACTAATCATTTATTGGCATGTGAATGAAACAAGTGACCACCTCCTTTCATATTTGGAATCTCTCAGCCTTCAAACTGTTTTATAGCATCGCAGTTTTCCAACAAATTAGTTCTAACCCAGAACAAATGGGGTGGTATTTTTATCTCCATGTTTTAAAGAAAAAAAAATGAGGTTTATGTAAAATGTAAAGGTTTAAGTAAAATTCGACATAGGTAAGAAACTTGAAAGTGGTCATTTGTCTATAATGTCTGTAAGAATATTTAGGCATACTTCCAACATGACCGTTGTGAAGGGCTGGGGTGTGGCTCTCCTGGTAGAGCATAAGCCTAGCAAAGTATCAGCCATGACCCCTGGGAAAAGATGACTGTGAGTAGAACTGCAAATGCTGTGCAAAATCAACAGACTATAGAGTCTCGCTGGAGAGACCCCCAAGTATGTCTGATCCTCTTCTCCAAAGGGAAAAAAAATGAAGGATCCTCTACGTATCTAGCAGAGGTGGTCTCTGAATTTTCATGGGGTAGGAAAGGAAGCAGATTTGGAGTATAAAAGACATAGCATAAATATATGTGGTAGAAAGTTCTCAGCTATGGCTCACCCCTTCAGATCATTGTATAGTTTATCAGCTTCATTTTTTTGTGATACAGATATTAAAAACAAGTAAAAACTCTGTCATTCTTGACAATTCTCCAGCATATGCCCTTGGTTATAAGTTATTTCTGGTATCAGGCTTCTGGAATTGGAATCAAATGTTTCACAACCCAGATGGTAATGATAACCTCAAACAAGAAGCCCTTTTTTTATTCTTTCTATTTTGTACTCTCCTTTTGGGCTATTACTTTAATAATTTTATTTTCTGCTTAGCCATTCAATTCACAGTGCACAAGTGGATTCCTTCATTTACATGAACATGTTTTTCTCATAAAATCTGGATCTAATTCTAACTTGAAACTTAATAAGATATACAGATAAAGAAGAGCAAGAGACACACACCGAGTTTCACATTGCACAGTGAGCTATAAACACATTAAACTAGAGTCACTGTCACAAAATCCATGCTTCCTCTTAACATTTCTGTTGCTTGACTCACTGTTGTCAGTTCTCTACTAATTTGCTTACTTTCACAAAAGCTTCCCCTTTCTTTGGAGACAGATTGAATTAGAAAGACTCAGTATACAAATCAAATGTTCAATGTTTCCAGAGTAGGTCCCCTACATTAGGGTCCTTTAGAACAACTTACTTTCCCATAATTCTATATGTAAATATGTAAGCCATAACCAGTGTCATCATGAGAACTCAAGTGGTCAGAATTTGAACATGTAGTTCATACATTCTACAAATATTTTTTTCTCAAGAAAATATTACCACTTTGTTTCTAGGCTACCCTCAAAGGAGGGGTAAGAGCCAAGAATTTGGTTGATGGGCTGAAAGGGAAGGGTAGTAAGTCAGGTGAAGGAGGTATGAAGAGCCCTTGTAAATCTTCCTCTAAGACTGCTGTGAGCCACACTACTATAAAGGGATCCAGAGAGCTCCTGAGACCAGTGATTACCCTCTGAGATGCAGGGGTAACAGGGGTAATAATTTGAAAATATTAAACAGATGTGTTTTTATTCTTCTCCCCATAAATCAGGTTACCTGGCAGCCATTCCTTAGGTCAAGCTTTGGGGAAAAGGAAAGGGTAAATTCCACTTTGGGAAGAGAGATGATACAATATAGAGAAATGCATGAAAGGAAGAGGGAGGGGAGATTCCCTCCCCCCACCCCCACTTTTCCAGACCGAGTTAAGTGTAGGAAGAAGGGAGTGAAGGTGGGAGAGAGCAGGGCCTCCCATCCACAGGTTTTCAAACTTATGTCCTAGAAGGGAAGCTGAAGATGTGCTTTTGCCTCATCTCATATTTGAAGTTATAGGCCACAATGTCGAAACAACAGCTCAAGAAGTTTTCCTACCTGAGTAAGGTGCTGCCCATCACAGCAACTCCTTTCTCTAGCAAGGCACAGCTTTATCACAAGGGAGGCTACTCTCTCCTACCCTTGGGTTCCTTCTACAAGCCACACTCACCAATTCAGTGCTCTGGATGCTATCTTGCAGCGGAAAAGAGACCATCTAAGAAGCTGCATATTCAGCCAAGAGGTAGAGCTATCCAAAGATGGCCTAAATTGGAAGAGGCTATAATATTATGAGCAAGTTCAAAACTTCCCGGAGTTTAGCCCCCAGCAGAGTGGGGAGAATTACACAGATTCTAGAAAAAAAAATCTGACAGTGTCTTTGTACATCTGTCTGTGGGCTAAAGTTTTGCCTTTGCATATAGATAATACCTAAAATTGTACACAGACCACATTGTCCTATATTTCCAAATTCCCATGAAGAAAAACGGTTCCTCTCATCAAGAATCATGATTCAAATAGGGACTGTTGAGACAAGCAAGCCAGGATGCTGGGCTTGACTTTATTCATAAGCTATGTAATGTGGCAAGTCATTCTGCATCTCAAGATTTAGTTTCCTATAAGGTGGGTGCAATAATACTGGTTTCATAATGTTACTATGGAATTCAAGGACATAATATATTAAAGTACTAAACTTATTAGGCATACTTTAAAATATTCATTCGTTTAACACATCTGGTTTTCTTGTATACCAGAGGCCAATAAGATAAGTCTCAGGTTCTGACATGAAGGAATTGGGGTGTGAGTCAACAAAGTAAAAGTATTGGTAATTAGAAACACTGTAATAATGGTATCATATAGGGTGGTATCGTACTATGTAGATAGCATTGGTCTCAGAATGATAACTGAGAAATAAGCCTAGAAAGTTCCCAAGGAGCTTGTACCTGGTCTTGGATGATAATAATAGAAACCTTTCTTGTTTCTATGCAACAGAGAGAATGCAAGTTCTCCTGAGAAATGGGCTTTAACTGTTTCATTCACTGCTATACCTACAGTTCCTAGAACAGCCTTTGCAGATAGGCACTAAATGAATATACAATACTTTCATTTATTCAGCATATGTCTAATTTGATCCTTGCAATAACCATAATGAGAAAATTATTGGCTCAAAGAGAAGAAATTTGTCCAGAATTGGATATCAGGGTTTCTTGGGCCACATTAAAGAGCTTGACCTCAATTCTGAAGACTGTCTGAAAACTTGAAGTGCTGTAGGAGGGAAAATTAATGCTAAAACTTGCACATGACATGCTGACAACAGTATGGATGACATATTGGGTCAAAATGAGTCCAAAAGTAATGAGCTAAATGAAGACAATGAGGATAAAGGAAGTTGAATGCTGTCCAGATAGGTTATCTGGAGCTATGAAAATGAAACAAGAAAAAAGTTGGGGATACAATTTTTGGGTGGCAGGAAGTAGAAATTCTGACAGGTGGAGTAAGACATTGGAATAACAGTGTAAATATGTGGAGATGTAACAGTGAAATCCTCCCTCCCCCTGTCCCACTGCCCCTTGTGTGTAGCTAACATAAGTCAACAAAAGATTTAAAAACAAACAAAAAAAAACAAGCAATAAAGCTGGGTGCCAGTGGCTCATGCCTATAATCCTAAACACTCAGGAGACTGAGATCTGAGAATTGTGATTCAAAGCCAAGCCAGACAAAAAAAAATCTATAGGACTCTTCCTTCTCTCCAGTTAACCACAAAAAAAAAAAGCCAGAAGGGGAGCTGTGGCTCAAGAGCATTAGCCTGGAACACAAAAGCTCACAGTCAGTGCCCAGGTCCTGTATGGGCCCCAGTGTGGGCACAAAATATACAAACTAAAAAGTTAAGATAGAAGTTAAAGCATTGAGGAAGAATACACAAATTGGAAATATTCTGAGGGATAATTGTTAGGATCTGGTGATTCTCTAGATATAAACATGGCTGGGGGAAGTGTTATGGATGGGTAGTGAAGGAGAACTAGATATCTCAAATGGATTCCAAATTTATGGCTGGCGTGACCAAGGATGATAGTATCATTTATCTCACTTGGAAGTACAGATTAAATTGTTCTTTGGAAGAAAGGTTCTCATGATACATTTTGAGAAATAGTGACAGCACATCATATTAGTTATCAGTGGGCTTTATGTATAGTGAGCATTAAGT